AGATATCAAACATTTTGTGGGATTTACAATTGTCCCATGCTGTCACATGATTTGTACAATTTTGTTGTCACACGATATATATATATATATATATATATATATATATATATATATATATATATATATATATATATATATATATATATATATATATATATATAAAAAATTTCTCTCGGCCTTGCACCAACGACTTAGGGATAGGATCTCTGACTGATGCCAAATCGGTCAAGTTTCGATTCCTGCTTGAAGCAATGGGACGTCTAGCCACACTGAAGAGCTGTAATACTGCGAAACAACCTCTCTCTGGATGACTATATATATATATGCATGTTTCATTAAAAAAGACAGACAAGGTACTACGGTTGAGCTTTTTATTTAATTTTTCTTGTGTTCTAACAAGAGCTTTATTTTCTGGACAAAGAGTGTGTAAAAACTGTCAAATTGTTTTATTTTTCCGAACGCTTTCGGCTATAACTTTAGATATTATCAAGGATGTTTGGTTTTTCAGCTTAATTAAGTGTGTGCATAATGTGTATGTCTCAGTGTGTAGTAGGGATGTTTTAATTTCCGAATACGGTTAGCACATTGTGGCTTTGTTCGTAGTTAATATTGTTAAGAGTTGGCCTTTTCTTCTTTTTATTGTTAAAGCTTCCATTAATATTAGTTTTTTTTTTTTTTACAAGTGGATGCAGTTAATATAGTTCTGTTTTCTACTAGTATGTTTCTAATGGAGTCTGGCAACTTTGTGTGTCTGTTTAAATGGGTTCTAATGGAGTTGTGATCAGATAGGTGTAATGTAAGACGTCTGGATAAGCATGTGGTTGTGTAACCGATGTAATTATTTATGAGCCTGGTTTGATCAGGAACACAGTTCCTTAAGGGGGCATTTGAACTCATAGATAATGTTCGTTCTTTGTAATTTTGACTTGGTGCGTTATTTTTTTTGAGGATAAGGTTAGCTGTCTTAAATTTTTTATATATATATATATATATATATATATATATATATATATATATATATATATATATATATAATGTTATTTGGGTATATGTCTCGAAAAATCTGTCGACAGCAAGATATTTTTCTTCCTACTAGTACTATTACTATATGACGTATCCCTTCAAAACGTGGGTGGTCATAGCTCTCCACAGCAAAATCTACTGAATGCAACATTATTCGAAAAGTAAAAGTACCTATAATTTACAGGCAGTGCAGTGAGGCTCAATATTTGCCGCACGGTATTAATGTCAGTATTTTCATAAATGTCTTTTGTGAGAGGAAATGATTAATCTCAGTAATTGCTGAAGTTTCGATTCATATAATTACTGGATTTCTGGACAATGGTTGGATACGAACGAGATGCAGAAACATCACCTATATAGCTTCAGGGTTTTTTTTTAAAACTCACGGTGAAATTTTTTTCGGAAGAGGTCTCGTTTTGATATATATCATAGATCTCTTCATATATCTGTACAGACCAGCCAGAATGAAGAAAAAAAAATCCCCAGAAAACTCACCGAGGAAAAAGGAGCCATTTTTTTAAATGTCAACGTCTCTTATTTTCGTTTGGCTTGGTTTGGTTTATTTTATTTTACGGCATATCAACCTCAATGGCTTATTTAATGCTGACATTTTTAGGATAGATTCTTATGAATAGAGTATGTATTCTTTGGTTAAGATTAGTTTGGTTTATTTTGTTTTACGGCATATCAACCTCAATGTGTTATTTAATGCCGGAAACATTTTTAGGATAGATTCGTATGAATAGAATATGTATTCTTTGGTTTAGATTGGTTTGGTTTAGTTTATTTTACGGCATATCAACCTCAATGGGTTATTTAATGCTGACAACATTTCATTTATTGCTGGTAATATTTTGTTTTCTCAAAAATATGTTTCTGCTAATATTTTTCTTCAAAATTGTATTGCTGGTAATAATTTTTTTTCAAAAAGTATTACTGGTAATAGTTAACTATTTACCCATAGTTGTGACCCTGACAGGTGTTACCACCCTGGGTCAGGGTGGACCTGAGAACACCAGCAATTAAGAGATGGTTCCACGCTCCTCAAAACCTCCTGATCAGAAGCCTTGCTGCTGGACGTAGTTTATCGTCTTACCCAGGATGTGGATGTAGTTAAACGTCTTACCCAGGACAATCTTATTTTGGGAATTAACGCTAAAAATACGAAGTAAAACAAAATTGAATTAATTGAAGATGTTAAATTTATTTCAAAATGTCTATTTCACCCGTCATCTGCACTAGAGATGGTAATTTTTCAATCCAGCTAGACACCCTCCAGTCTGGATGAAAATTAAGAACATTTTCTTGTATTTCTCGTTTCTTTGAATAAAGTATTCCTTAAGGTAACTATTGATGATTTGTTGTTAATTTGGAATAAATGAATAACGGCCCCAGGATTAAAATTTTGATTGAATAAATAATTTAATTCTTTTTTTTTTTTCCATTTGTTTTGATCACCAGAAATACTGATTCCAAGCAAATCAATCTGATTGAAAGAGAAATTTACAAGAAACAATGTCTGGAAAAATAGCAAAGTTTTAAAATTTGAAGGAAAACACTTAATGTCGGTTGTGTTTTAATAATTTCATCTGGGAGAAATTTATGAAAAAAAATGTCCTTGTGATAAGCATCGCTTATCGTTTATGTTTTGTATTAGTGAATTGAATTTCATTTTTTTTTTTTCATTTCGTTTCATTTTTTAAGATCTTATCTTGTCTCTCCTTTGGCGACATTATTTGTTTTTCACCTTCTCTTTCACTATGACAGAATGCTGTATACATACTCCCTTGTCCCCATGTTTTTCGCCTTGTTACTTCTTTATGACTTTTTTTTCCTCGTTGTTTCCCGCCTTCACTATGAAATTTATCTCCTGCATCAACCGTCCCATCCATTTCAGAACATCACGTGTTCTAATCAAAATGTTAAAGCCCTTTGTTGCATTTGTGAATATATTAAATACATTCCCATTATTATTATTATTATTATTATTATTATTATTATTATTATTATTATTTTAATTTTTCATTATATTTTTTTCCGAAAAGAAGCGGGAATTGAGGGTGACGAGTAATAACAGGAATTTCCTGGGAAGAAGGCAATAAACGATTCGTTCTTGCTACCCAATTGATTTTTATTTCCATTGTGATGTCAGCTTTTATTGTGTCTTTACGTTTCGATTTTGAATTTTCTTGCAATTGTCTACTGTTTGCTTCTTTTATAACCAACCAGACAGTCCTTTCTTTTCTTTTCTTTTCTTTTCTTTCTTTCTTTCTTTCTTTCCTTTTTCTTTCTTCTTCTTTATTTCATTCTCTCATACGTTTTTAAGTTATTTCTCTATTTCTTTCTATCTTTCTTTCTTTATTTCTTCTCATTCTCTTTTTTTTTCTTTCTTTCTTTTTCTCTTTTTTCCTGTTATTGATTTCTTTCTTCTTTTTTCTTTCTTTCTTGCTTTATTTATTTCTTATTTATTTCTTTTTCGCTTTCTTCCTTTCTTTCTTTATTCCCCTATTTATTTCTTCTTTTTTCTTTCTTTCTTTCGTTTTCTTTTTTTCTTTCTGTATTTCTTTTTTACTCTTCTTTCTTTATTTCTTTCTACTTTCTTTCTTCTTCTTTCTTTCTCCTTTTCTTTTTTCTTTCTCTTTATCTTTCTTCTTCTTTTCTCTTTCTCGCTTTCTTTCTTCTTTTTACTTGAACGATTTCTTACAAAGAAAAATATTTTCTCTCTTACTTTGTTCTTCTTTCTTTCTTTCTTTCTTTCTTTCTTTCTTTCTTTCTTTCTTTCTTGTTTCCTGGCTAACTTTCCATTAATGCGAGTCTTCTACTTTTCTTTTTCATTCTTTCTCTCACCTCATTTCTTTCTTTCTCTTTCTTTCTTTCTTTCTTTCTTTCTTTCTTTCTTTCTTTCTTTCTTTCTTTATTTATTTATTTTAATGTTACCCAGTATTCCGTTTCTTTTCCTTTCTTTCTTTCTTTCTTTCTTTCTTTCTTTCTTTCTTTCTTTCTTTCTTTCTTTCTTTCTTTCTTTTCCCTTTCTTTCATATTATTTATTTATTTCTCTCTTTCTTTGTACTATCTTTCTCTCTTCCTTACCCTTTTTCTCTTTCTTTCTTTTTTCTTTCTTTATCTCTCCCTTTCTTTCTTTCTCTCTGTCTTTCTCTCTATCTTTCTTTTTCTTTCTTGCTTTCTTTCGTTCTGTTCTCTTCTTTAATCTTTATATTCTTTATTTCTTTCTTCAACTCTCTTTCTTTCTTTCTTCTTTTTTCGTCTTTCTCTCTTTCTTTCTTTCTTTAACGTATTTTTACAAAGAAAAATCATTTATTTCATAATATCTCTTCAGTATACGTACTTTTTTTTTTACTTTTTACCTGATATTTCTTTCTTTCTTTCTTTCTTTCTTTCTTTCATTCTTTCTTTCTTTCTTTCTTTCTTTCTTTCTTTCTTTCTTTCTTTCTTTCTTTCATTCTTTCTTTCTTTCTTTCTTTCTTTCTTTCTTTTTCTTTCTTTCTTTCTTTCTTTCATTCTTTCTTTCTTTCTTTTTCTTTCTTTCTTTCTTTCTTTCTTTCTTTCTTTCTTTCTTTCTTTCTTTCTTTCATTCTTTCTTTCTTTCTTTCTTTCTTTCATTCTTTCTTTCTTTCTTTCTTTCATTCTTTCTTTCTTTCTTTCTTTCTTTCATTCTTTCTTTCTTTCTTTTTTTCTTTCTTTCTTTCTTTCTTTCTTTCTTTCTTTCTTTCATTCTTTCTTTCTTTCTTTCTTTCTTTCTTTCTTTCTTTCTTTCTTTCTTTAACATGTACTTGACATTCTTGCTTTGCTCGGTGTTCTTGTTTTTTTTTTTTCGGTCCTTCATTTATTCTTGATTTAATTCCTTGTTTCTTTATTTTATTTTTTTAACTTCCACGGTTTTTTTTCCTTTTTTCACTCTTTCATTCATTCTTAATTTGATTCCTTGATTCTTTGTTTTTACTTCCATAATTTCCTCGATGTTCTTCCATTGTTCAGTCCTTCATTTATTTTTGATTTTGTTCTTTCATTCTTTCTTTCTTTATTCATTAAACTTCCTCTGTGTCCTTTTTTTCAGGCCTTCATTCATTCTTTCTTTTTTTATTTCATTAAACTTCCTCGGCTCTCTTTTTATTTTCAGTCCTTCATTCATTCTTGATTTCATTCTTTTTTTATTTATTTTTGTATCTTCTTTCTTTTTTCAGTTTTTTAAATTCCGCGGTGTTCTTACATTTTTCAAACCTTCAATCATTTTAATTTCATTCTTTGCTTTTTATTTTTTTTATCTTCCTCCGTGCTCTTTTCTTTTTCAGTCCTTCATTCATTCTTAATTTCATTCCTTGATTCTTTCTTTTTTATTTTTTTAACTTCTTCGTTTCAGTTCCATTTTTCAGTCCTTCATTCGTTCTTGATTTCAGTCTTTCTTTTTTTTATTTTATTAACTTCCTCGGCTATCTTCCTATTTTCAGTCCTTCATTCAATCTTCATTTCAGTCTTTCTTTTTTTTATTTTATTAACTTCCTCGGCTATCTTCCTATTTTCAGTCCTTCATTCATTCTTCATTTCAGTCTTTCTTATTTTTATTTTATTAACTTCCTCGGCTATCTTCCTATTTTAAGTCCTTCATTCATTCTTCATTTCAGTCTTTCTTTTTTTTATTTTATTAACTTCCTCGGCTATCTTCCTATTTTCAGTCCTTCATTCATTCTTCATTTCAGTCTTTCTTTTTTTTATTTTATTAACTTCCTCGGCTATCTTCCTATTTTCAGTCCTTCATTCATTCTTCATTTCAGTCTTTCTTTTTTTTATTTTATTAACTTCCTCGGCTATCTTCCTATTTTCAGTCCTTCATTCATTCTTCATTTCAGTCTTTCATTCTTTCCTTTTTAACTTTTTTAACTTCCGCCTTGTTTTTCTTTTCTTTTTTCAGTCCTTCATTCATTCTTGATTTCATTCTTTCATTCTGTTTTTTTTTTTGTATTTATTTATGTTGTGGTACGATACACCTAATTTACATAAGTGGAGTACCGACCATATAAATATGGGTTAGTACCGGAAGACGGGGGAGAAAGTAAGAAGAGATCGAATCGAGAGACTCTGCCCGACTGCGATTTAGTCAACCCATTCTGCAGGAACAGTCTTCCCAAGAATATACCAAAACTAACTGTAAATATTGTGTACCTTTTCCTTGTTTCAATACATTTTGTTTACGTACATTTTGTGTTGTATTATTATTATTCCATGCTTATCCAAGCTTCAACAATTTAACTTCCTCGCTGTTCTTCGTTTTTGTTTTGTTTTAACAGGTCTTCATTCATTCTTGATTTCATTCCTTGATTCTCTCTTTTTTATTTCTTTAACTTCCCCTGTCTTCGTCCATTTTTCAGTTCTTCATTCATTCTTGATTTCATTTTTCATTCTTTTTTATTTCTTTAAACAATGTGCCCGGCCTCGATTTTCATTCTTTCATTCTGTCTTTTTTATTTCTTTAGTTTCCTCGATGTTCTTCCTCATATTCTTAAATTCTTCGATTCATTTCCTGTTTTTTAACATCCTTTAATTGATTCATTCTTTCATTCTTTGTTTCTTAATTTCTATATTCTTCCTTTTTTTTTCAGTCTTACATTCATTATATCTTTCTTTTTTTATTTCCTTCTTTCTTTTCATTTTCTCGACACGATCTCTTTTTTTTTTTGTCTCCCTCTTTCTTCCATAACATCCAATATTATATATTTAATTTTCCGTTTCCGGATCTATATTTGGTTGTCTATAAAATCAAAAACTGTTAGTCTCTTCATATCTATCTATCTATCTATCTATCTATCTATCTATCTATCTATCTATCTATCTATCGTCTCTTCATATCTATCTATCTATCTATCTATCGTCTCTTCATATCTATCTATCTATCTATCTATCTATCTATCGTCTCTTCATATCTATCTATCTATCTATCTATAGTCTCTTCATGTCTATCAATCAACTCTGCCTGTCTGTCTGT